AAAATGGTTGAATTATATATCAATCAATGTTGTAGAAATATTATGATGGTCTATTATCAAAATAATCTCTTTGTATAGTTTTTCTATTGTTAAAATCTTCAGTATAAATTTTTCAGTAATTTTCCTATCATAGTATCGGAATGTCTAGAAGTGTATGTAAAAAAGTATGTTTATCATATCCATGTAATTATAATATTTATTTAGGAGACAGGTTGTATTCTTCTAACACTGTTGCAAGTTGGTAACAAGTAAAGTAATGTGTTAAGGATAAGATTTGTTATTCATTGTCCATTTGTTTTTAATACAATGTATTCGATAATTATTATGTCAATTCGTTGGATCATATCAGTTGTATTAATTAAAATAGTATTAATTACGTCTGTTACTCTTTGTGGAGAACCATAGACCTCTCACTAGGACTCATCAACCAATTCTGTCCTGGGCTCTCCTTTCCAGTTGTTTCCGATTGTTATTCTTTCTCTTGATTTCTGCCTCCAATTCCCAACGCAATATGTTCTTGGATCGTCCTCTTTTCCTTTTTCCATGAGGATTTTGGGTCAGGATTCGCCTCACGATGCAGTCTGATGATTTCCACAATGTATGTCGTGTCTTTTCTTAATTTCCTCTTCAGATGGAGGTTGGTTTGTTCTCTCCTACAGTAGGTTCTTGCTGATGGTATATAGTCAACGTCCATTCAGCATATTGAGTAGACAATTGTTTATAAATACTTGTACAGTTTGATAGTTGAAGTTGTTCTCCATTTTCCTGCTTCGTACAGTGGAACCGTTTTGACGTTCGTATTGAAGATTGTGACTGATGTTGGCTTGCAGAAAGTTGTTTTGAGTTCCATATGTTCTTCAACTGTAGGAATGCTGTCCTTTCCTTACCCTTGTGTCTGTATCTGATACTCCTTGTTCATCGATGATGCTGTCCAGTTACGTGAAAGTTTCAACCTGTTCCAGAGTTTCCCCATCAAGTATGATTGGCTTGGTGTTTTTCGTGTTGTATTTGAAGATCTAGCTTTCCACCTTGTGTATGTTGAGGTTGACTGATTCAGAGCCCACTGGTACACTACTTATCTGAACCTGCATTTGTTGGTATGTATGGGATAGAAGAGTTAGTTCATGTGAGAAGATCAAATAGTCTAGTTGCATGCGAGCTGTCCATTGTACTCCGTGCTTTCTTTCCTGAGATGTGTCGGTCTTTATAATCCAGCCGACCAGCAGAAGGATGAGAAAGGGGGAGAGTAGGCAGTCTTGTCTGACACCGGTCCTCTTTTAAAATGCATCTGTCTTTTATGCATGACTTTGCATTCCAGTTCGTTGTACGAATTCTGTGTGATGTTGGCGATCACAGGTACACCACAGCGTTGCGAAAAAAGTTACTCTAGGCTCTTCTATCCACACTATTAAACGCATTATAGTCAAGGAAGTTGATGTATAGTGACGAGTTTAACTTAATTGATTATTCAACAATGATCGTTGTTTCGCGATATGGTCGGTACACAATCGATTCTTAAGGAATCCCACCTGATGATCTCAAAGTTGGTCGTCAACTGAATCTTTCACTTGATTCAACAAAACTTGAGAACGTTTCTTGGTACTGATAATAGTGTGATGTAACTTTAGTTCTTACATTTGCAAAGGTCTCCTTAATAAAATTCATAATACAAAAAATTAATATTCTAATTGGCTTTTCTGGTTACTTGTTGATATTTCATCTTAGTGTTTTCAAACTCAACAGTAAGATAGTTAATTTTTCGTTACCATTGGTTAGTGATACTACAATATGTGGTGTAGCTTTATGTAAAATATATTTTAAGGATATGAGCTACCCAGAAAATGTGAATACTTCACATGATTCCTAAGTACCCTCTTATTATTTCATTCGATGAAAGTATGTGTTGCTTTCGAATACAACATTTGCTACTTCATTATTGACTAACTAGAGCCAATATAACATCAACTTTAATAGTATTGGAATAAAGTTCTGTCACTTTGAAGGAACACAGTACAAAGAAACTGGCAACATAAAACACTAATATTGATTTTCAGCTATGACACCTGTTTGTTTTAAATCATTAGTTTTGTCGCCTCATAAAATCTCGTCAGTATGTCAACTGTTATTCATATGACTCACAGTATTAGTGATTAAGATAATCAATTATCATCATATCCTGATCTCGTTATCTTTTATAGTTTTTCCATCACGCTCATGATTCAATCAATTTCGTGCATTATAATACAAACACATTTACTAAACATTTACAGTTTACCAAACAGTCGACCATTTCTGATAAACTTAATTACCGGCTTTATAATTTTTAAATGCTACTTCAGCATTTTCTCACATATGATTAATTCGAATCACGTGAATACTACTTATATATATTGAATTCTCAGGGAATGACTTACAAGTTGTCACATTTGACATCGTCTTAACGCTGAATTTCAATGATATTTCTTCAACTTCACTATTAGGCTTTACTTATTATTGTACGTTATCAGATAGAGAAAATATTGTCGGAGTTTGAGTAAAAATAACAATTCTGTAAAATAAATGTACTTTTCAATAATAATAGTATAAGTAGTTGTTGTATAGAAAAATTATTATATTCATTTCACTATCACATGCTGTTCATAATTTTAAAATAGTGATTTTTATTAATGCTTATTAATTTATCATTTATTCATCTTTATGGTACATAATCAAAAATGAATGAAAAACACTTTAAATTTTTATTAGAAATTTAATTTTTAGAATTGTTTTAATAATTTCAGTTTTGCCTTAGTGATTGTTAATTAAGACAACTAATTTTCAGCTATTAGGTTGGAAGCAAAGATAGATGGTGGCTGGCAGTGGGATCCAGGACGCGCATTTCATCTTATTTGGGGCTCGCCAGCTGGATGCACCCGCATCCCAAAGTTGGTGCTCACTCCGGGACTCGAACCCAGCATCATTCGCTTCAAACTCCATAGCGTTATCCACTTAGCTTCTTAGTCCTGATAACCACTAGCTTGGGGTGAAGTTTAAATTTATTTTTGTTTGTAATGCTTGTGACTTAAGGCAATATCGTGGCAATCCGTACAGGATGGACATATACTAATGAGAGACTGATCAATTATAGTCTTAAACATCAATGGGAAGATTCAAACAAACAATAAAAAATGAATTTATTGGGTTGGAAGTTGTAAGCAATAATTCACTTACCATCTTCAGTACGAATGTCCGAGGAGTATCATCGTCTCTCAAGTTACTAGCATTAATGAAAACTGGGTTTATGAATATGCTTTTAGTTGTTAAATTACATTAAAGTTAATAAATTTAGATTTTTAAAAGAGCATTAGTAAAACCATATTTTTGTATATACATTCATATTATATTAGTTGTATTCAGTAATATACATATTTATAAATGAAACATAGTTCTTATCATAATCATTGACGGTTAAGTTATTCTTAACAGTCGTTCTTTTTATTCTAAAATTCATCTACATGTTTGTGATATATAGTTAAATTGTACTGATAGAGCTGAGTTTCTATAACGAAACATTTTATTCAGTGCACTGAATAGCCTAAACCAATGACATAATATATACAATCCTTTACTGTGATTCCTATTTATATCATTTTACAGCATTTGATAGAAGTGAAACCGAAAATATAATTGATTTCATCCAGTTTTTGTTTGAAAGTTTATGATAATATTGCATCACATCAGTTTTATTTAAAAATTCATTTCAAAGAAGTTGTGATAACATATCACTATTCTTTTTTCATATCAACTATCTTTCTGTGTTAATAAACTATGTTTAATTGAGAGCAACACATATTTTGTTAACGGGTACTCAACATATGTCATACTGTCAAGCAACTCATTAACCTATGATCATGTTCTGTAATGAGTATAATATACACATCTCATATTGTATGATGGCTAGAAATACTATCGAGTTATTCAGATGAAAATCTGTCATTTATTGGTTGAAAAATTAAGTACCCGTAGATCCATCAAACTAAATTTAAAAACTGTGACCTTTGAAAAATCATTATTCCTGGTTTCGATGGATTTATTAGTGAGAAGAAACAGATTAATTATTTGGTCTATACAATTTAAAAATAATAAGAATTGGAAACTTTTTATTGAGACAAAGTTTGGTCATTTCTAAAAAAATTCTTCCATATATCCAAGTCATAAAATGGTTTAACCAATCTCTTTTGTGTAAGCATGAATTCTTAAAAATAATTTATACAATTATGCTAGATATCTCAACAGTCTATATCAATATTAATAATTATTCTATCTATTTATTTGAACACATAAATATTGGTACAAAATGACACCGAATAAATATGCGCCACACAAGTCACTTGATTTGTGTGTGGGCTATGATACTGCCCGGGTACCCAAATCGAAGTGCGTGATTTTACTGGGGAGTCACACCCGGGGCCTTCGACCTAAAGATCTGATCCACAAGGCGGTGGAGGAACGTCAGAAGATGTAGTCCCATAGTAGCCGGTCACTAACAATTGGTTCATAAACCATTTGCTCCCTCAGGATCTTGGAGCCCATGTGCATCATAGAGCCCATTGTTGATATTGAGTACTGAAATTTGATCAGCTTTTGTTATTATATGGCTAACCATAGAATCCAAGGTGCGTATTTCTTTTTATTTTGACTCGTCAGCTGGATTCATCCTCATCTCAGCTGACAGTTGTTATAAAGCAGGTGTTCGTTTATGATTGATTCCGTGAATATCCACTAACAGTAATTTATTGGGGTTGGGTACTTATTTCCATAGACTTTTATATTACGACCTAAACTGTATGGAAGTGTTCGTCTAAGCCTTTTATTTTATCGTTTTTTAAAATTTTGCACAGGTCTAGTTACTTATGAGTAGTTAAGTTCTTATTTATGTATTTTTGAGTAGTGTTATATCTATCCTTCATCATAAGTTTATTTTATTTTAACTTTCTCTATAAAACGAAAAACCAAACCAGATCTCCAGTCTGACATACCTCCTGATGTCGGTAATAACTTAGAAGTTGCACAAGATCATTCTAACGAATCCGATCCAAGTTTAGGGTAAGTTTTTCATTTTGTTCTGTATTTCATATGATACATTCCGAAATGTAGCACATATAAGTATGATTCGTTCCAACTCAAGTATGAATGTAAAATCCTATTTGTAGTTATAATATCCACCACGTTTCTAATTACTTGCTTTTAATTAGTTTTTTTGTATGTTATATAAATTCTATTTTTTCTAATTATAGTATATGCTTGTCTATTTGGTTGCTTTACCACGTTTATTTAGCAACATGTTTTTTAAAAGATAAACTCTTAGCAAATTTATCATTCATGTATAAATGAAAACTTAGTAAAGTTGGTTTCTTCTCGGGGTTGATTTCGCTGAGCAATATACTCATTAAGAACTAGACGGTAGAGAGATTGCTCCACGGTAATTGCATGGTTGTTTGTTACCTACAATCATAGGATATTTAGGACCTGTTAAAGATTTTAGTAAGAATGAAAAGAGGGAGTTGCTATTGATGGTATAATTTGAAATTGGTGGAATTCAAACATCTTTATCACTAAAATTTGACTTAGTGGATTAAGATTGCTACTGCGATAAAGTTTGTATAAACTAGTTGATCATCACTTATTTTTAGCATAGCTTTTATGGGGATGATAGAATTTTCATAGTTTTAAATCACGAAATGATCTTAGATAAGCCTTCATTGAGAACTAGGAAGCATTGGACATTTGATTTTTAGTACAAAACTCTTCAGCAGTACGTACGACGATCCCACAATAAGGAATCGGACTCAGGATCTTCGATCTCACGCGCCAACGGCCACTAATCCAGTGTCTGATGGTGTTAACGTCTAACTTTAATCAAATCACGATATCGAACGTCCATCTTCGACTGCTTGCGGTGGAAAAAATGTCTCATATATGACAGTTGAGGTCCCCAAGTGACAACTCAAAGAAACTCTGTAGATAGTGGACAAGGGTTGCGCAATAACGTGATTTGACAGAAGCTAGACTTTAACACCACTAGATGCCGACTCAGTAGCCTAGAGGTTAGGCGTTGAGGAATTGTGTTGTTTCTTATTTCAAATTCCTGTATTTATGTCATGCTTGCAGAATATGACTGATTTGACGTTGAGGACGGGATAAATTTCGATATCCAATATCGTGTAACATCGTTGCTGTATGGTCAATTTTTTTGTTAGCACATGAAACAGAGCTTTGCCGGCTGTTAAATCATGGGTCCAAATTCTAATACATCTACTTTTTAATATAGACATCACAGTATCTTGGTGTCTAGAATTGTTCATTATTTTTCTTCATAAGCATGCTATGTGCTATGGAGTAAAAGTTTGGACATTAAACCCCATTATCTCTGCATATAGCTCCACACTGTTATGGTAATCTTTTAATTTTATGTTATTGTTGTATAGCTGTCTTCGTTCTACTTTACTGTTTGATTTTTTTCTTCACACTAGTGAAACTATGGAAAATAATGTTGAAAACAATAACGTTATTCCTGATGTTATGCAAGTATGTCTATAACGTAAAGTGTATTTTCTCTCTCTTACTTCTTATTTTAACTATATTTTAGTGCTATGACTTTTCATGCATCATTTTTCATACTATCATTTCATGTCTGTATCCACTAACCATTATATTTTGGATTATGTTAGTTATTTTATAAGATTTTAAATTTCGGAAGTATACAAATAATCAACCAATAATGATTTATGCTAAATTTTCGTTATATTAACGTTCAGTAAAAGTAAATAAAACCTATCAAACTTCTCCATTACTTAAGTCAATGTAGTTGGGATAATGCTATAGATAAGCTTTTAAAATTCAGCCAACAACCGAGTCAGTAGTTCCTTATGGATAAGAAAACGTTTTATCATTCGTTTTTGCAGGTATCTATTAATGCCCTTATGTATTGTTTATATAGCTCGAAAATTTCTATTTAAATTCTGTTGTGATTATGTTCGTATCTAAATGGTTTATAATGTAACCAGTTTAGTTGAGATTGATAGAGTTCATTTTGTCTTGTAGAAGGTTGAAATGGTTTAGATAATTGATTATCTAAAGAATATGTATATACATATTTATATCATGAACAAGAGGATTTCGAATGCTATTAAATAATTGTGGACAGTTGTCGTTTCCTAGTCACCTACATCGTGTATAGCTATTTCCTTTTGAGGCACCTGAAAAAGAGACTGAATTGGTAGCGATCACGGTAACCTGGGAGCGTCATCTCAGAGCACTAAGGAGAACTGCTTGACACTGATCACACAACCTTTTCAGTAGCAGTTTGTATAAAGTAATTAGTCCCTTTTGTAAATTTAGGAGGAGACGGAGTTGATCTGGAAAATGTGATGTATTTGTGTTATACATTTCGAACCATCTGGTCATACATATACTTGTCAGGGCATTTTACATGAAGATTAATAAAGGTCAATAAAATGAAAGTTCAAGTAAACAAGATTAGCTCTGCAATTTAACGGTCATACTACTGGCGGCGGAAATCCATGTGGTAAGGTGAGGTGTGCTATTTCCAGGGTCGACCTTTTCTAATTCTTTTCTTTTGCCTGAGGCCAGAACCGATTTTGTTTAAGGAAATTATATGGTGCCTCCATACCCCTGTTTAGTCTGTACTAAGACTTCGCCCTTGGAAACTCGTTTGCTCCTTTTAATCTTACCGTTCCCGAGCAGATCTAGTGGGCATGTTGGGACCTAAAGTAGTGAACGTTCCAGCCATTATAAGTCGGTTCAATCATCATGGTAGACATCAAGGTAGTAACTACTGTCGGGTTGCTGCGGAGAAAGGACGAAACCAATAAAATTAGAATAATATTAAAATGAACCAAAATAATAATAATGGATAGTACATAACAATATTGTGCAGGGATCACATCAGAGTATATTTTTGCCATGAAGGTGACGTCGTGTTTCTTCACTATTTAGTATTTTTAAGTCGACATTTTGTCTTTGAGTTCTATAATTTTTTTATTAGTAGCCTTCGAAAAATATGTTCATAATATAGATACTTAAAGTTAAGTTGCATAATATCTATTCATCTAATTATTTGAGCATACCCTTATCTAGCCTTAATACTGAACAGTTCCGAATACACTTTAGCCCTCAATGTTACTTCTGTCTAGATGATTCATAATATTCAACGCATTGCTAAATATTCTTAATTCTGTTGAAGTGATTATGTTCAGAAGCTATAGTTGAAGTAAAACTTGTTAGTTGGTAGTTTTGTCGGATTACAATACAAGCGTTTTGTGTTTTAACGAAGGATTATCACTCCAATATAAGTTTAATAATTATTGAAAACGAGTTTTGTAGTGAGTGTCACACATTTAAACGTGAAGTTTAGCTTGTTTTCTACTTTGTTTGATTATCCATAACCAAATGGAAGACATTTGTTCATACATAAAGATTGTTCTATTTTGAAATAGTTTGTTAAGTTTGAATGTTGATCATCACTTCACTGTTATACTAGGACGTTTAGGTTTACATCTAGTTAATCAGCTATTTTAGGAAGTATTGCGTAACGTTTTACAAATTTTTAGGGTAGAAATGAGTAATTTTTAAATTTATTATTTTATTTGTAAATCGTGAATTAAATAATGTCATGGAAAATTATAAATGTTCAGTTAAGAAAAGAGATACATCACTTACAGATATTATAAAAGTTTACATACTGCTTTAATTAAAATTATGGTTTTTTATACTATCATCTAAGTATGATTTATTTGTAAATAATTATTACAGTTAGATTGTTGAAATTCAATAATGTAGGATGTAGTTCACCTGGTATTTTTTTGGCTTGTATCTTCCCATTGAGGTTATCGGCATATGTGCATACTGTGCATATGCCTCGATGTTGCCTTAATTCACAAGCTTTTTGTAAGCAATGATGGATAGTGCGTGAACTTCAACTCTGAGATGCAGGTCCATCCAGGTCCATCCAACGCGATGGAGTTTGAAGCGAATGGTACTGGGTTCGAGTCCCAGAGTGAACATCAACTCTGAGATGCAGGTACATCAGCTGATGAGTCCCAAATATGATGAAGCGCGCGTCCTGGATTCCACTGTTAGCCACTATCCATCATTGCTTACAAAAGTAGGATGTAGTTGTTTTAATTCTTTAACAGTGTTTGTTACTGAAGAGTGAGTTAATCTATTTGTGTACATTAAAGGTGATATTTTCTCGTGATAAATGATATCATACTGATCTTCAAACAATGTAGTAAAGAAGTTTTTAAAAACGATGGAATTGAATTTCACATATTAATTAGATGATTATTTATTTAGTTTATAATTTTCTTAGTAATCTGTCATAGTTTATTTTTGTAACAATCTTAATTATGCTTATCGTTGTAAAATAAAATCAACAATCATTCATCTTCTCTAAAAGGAAATAATTGTATGGGTAATTTAAGTAACACAATTGTTTCATTTTCTAAACTATATTGAAGAAACGCTGATAATTAGAATCAGTATTTACAAAATAATACTTAAATTTATAATTAAGGTTCATTACTTGTTAGTGTATTTCAAATCATTCGGAAGCATTGCATTATTTGAACATACTTAATTATGCCCACTCTTCCGTATGATTGTTGATAAATAGGCATATGAATTTTAAAGGAAATTGATCTTAAAGTATGTCTAATTTTATCAAAATATTTATATCGAATATTTTTCTCATGTAAATAAACTTTTTCAGGTAGTTAGCAACAAATTTTGAACCTAGTTTTCATGCTATTAAGTTCTCTTCAGTAAGATGTATCTGCAATCTGGAGGGAAGTGATCTTCCCCGAGGGGATCCGAACCCGCGCCACTCAGCTTCACAGTCTGAGATATAACGACTTAATTACTCAGGCTGTTACTGTGCCCGGTAGTTTAAGTGAATCGATGTCTCACTCACTATATTGAGACGTTAAATGGTTGGAGGTAGTTAACAGGAAGCCTGATCAACACTGAAGGATTAGGTATTTGTAAAATTAGTCACTACTCGGTGACAAATCAGTTGTTCTTAAGCTTTCAGTACGTAATAAATGAAGTAGTTTTAGTTACTCATTCTGCAGAAATCTCCTGATTACCTTTCACTAGTTTCGTGTAAATATAACAATAAGGGATTCAACAAATATCCTCCTGGAAACGCAAAGTTTAACTAAAGAAAGCGAAAAAAGCCAGTGAGAATTTTGTGTTGATTAATGTTTGTGAAATACACTGTGTAGTTTTATATTTCATAACTATTCTTTTTTGTAATATAAATAATTGGTCATGATTTCCTAAGATATCAAAAATATTTCTAGTAATTTTTGGCTTTTATCACAGAAATCTATTAGTTTGGACGAATATAAAGACAGAAAGTTCACAGTTGTTGTGTTATTTACGTAGAATTACCTGTCGTTGTAATATATACAATGACTTCTGCTTATTGTCAATAATTTAACCAATCGTAGTTTTAAATTGTTTATTAATAAAACAATGGATTTATTGTCTTATGATTAGATCTGATTGGAAGAAAGTGTTTTGTTCATTCTGACTTTAAATAAACCTGATATTATTTATAAATGAGCACCTCTAACATAAATATGAGATTATTGCATAAAAAATCGATTATTTCTATTTTCAAGTGGGAGAAACTGTCCTATTTATTATAAGTGTTGTGTTATATACAATCATAAAGTTTATTAGTGGTGAGTTGGTTTGTGTATTCTTTAGTTAATAAAAACGCTATTAAGTAATATTAGATTTCGATGTAATTTTATATTATCTTTTATAATTCATAAGTTTATCATAAACTAACCAGAAAAGATTTTATAATTCAAACAACGGTCAAATTCACTTGTTAATCAGATGGAATACTCAACATGGATTATCTACACTGACCTTTAAAGATCTGTCAAACATACTGAGGTGGTAATTTTATCTAGTTGAACGAATGCATTGTAACAGTGTTAGCTCATACGATACCTTGTGATTTAGATTATAGTGTCACATTCATTAGCTGATAGAATATGGAAATATCAGTTATCTACTGCAAAGTGTTGGAAATATTCGAAATTCTCCTTGAACATAAAATATTTGTAATTTTACGTTACTTATGCCTGTTACTCCTAATGGAGCATAGGCCGCCGACCAGCATTCTCCAACCGACTTTGTCCTGAAACTTCCTTTCTAATTCCATCCAATTCTTGTTCATTTTTCTCATGTCTATTTCCATTTCCCGGTGTAATGTATTCTTTGGTCTTCATATTTTCCTTTGGCCTTGAGGATTCCATGTGAAGGCTTGTCTTGTGACGCAGTTGTGTGCTTTCCTCAATGTGTGTCCTATCCACTTCCAGCGTTTCCTAATTTCTTCCTCCGCTGGGGTTAGCGACCCCATCCCGTAGAAAACTAACTCGCTAAAAAAACGCTAACCAGAAAACATTTGACGTTACTAATACTAATATATTTATATATATTCTCCATAATTTCTTCCTATGTATTTTTAATATCCGTTCTTTGAAATATATTGTTCAAATATTAGCTTTCGAAGTAACATATGTTTCCAATTCCTACTCTGTTGTTTGATCTCGAGAAAATTATTAAATAATAGTTAACAAGCGTTAAACTAAATTATCAACTGTCAGTTAGACAGTCAAACGTAACATAGAACCTCGCACATGTATACACCAGTTCAAGTTGCCATACCCCATTGGCACAGGGAGATGACATTTTTAAAGTGAATCCCAGAGTGGTGGAGGTAACAACAGTATAAGTGGTAATGGGGGAAAATGGGCATAGAAGGTCCGACTCAAGAAAGTATAAATTGGTGAATTAAAATGATTATGAGGAATTTAGAGACTTAAGATCTTAGGGAAAGGAAAGAGTAGGTGCATCAGCACCATTGCAAATAATTCCGAGCCATGTCATTCAAGGTCTCTAACCATCGTTTACTGTCATTTCTCATACCCCAACCAGGTAGTCTATACTTGTTAATTTGGTTCAATCAAATTGTCAGTGACTCCATATGTTGGTGCCATATCTTGTTTTGACCATTCCTACCTTTCTTCCAGCCTACTCTCACAACAGATAACTTCGTCCTTCGATGTAGGGTATGGTCAGACCTACGCAACATCTGTCCAAACCACTTCAGTCGAAGATTTACTACCTCATCAATCGAGTTATCATTTTTACCTTATACCCTATTTTCAACGCAGAGATTGTTCACTTGGTAGTTGCAAAATAATTAAAAGATGCGTTGATGACACTTTTGGTCGAATACTAGTAACCTTTGAATATCTTCTATTCTAAGTGCCAATTCTTGACGTTTACCAAGTATAACGGAACCGAACTGCTAAGCAGTACGTTAACAGCAGGATATATGTCATTTTATACTATTAAAAAATATAACTTATGTAGAATATCAATAAGAAGTTATTATGTTATGCAATACAACACCTGATCAATTGTAATTTTGACTAGGTTTAAATCAAATAGTTATTTGTTAACTCTTAAACAAGATTAAAAACAATTCAGCGGTGAAAATGTGCTTTTTGGTGATTCCATTTACTGAAATTGTACAATCCTATTTACAATTAGTTTATTTACTAAAAATGGTAATCCATAATGAAGCAAAATGGTTTTGAATGATCAAAATAAAGTTTATATGGTATTGTGTCAAAAATTGCTTACAAAAGGATGTTATGTAATAATCCAACGGTTAATGACAAACGTTCAGGTGAAGATAATCGCCTACTAAATAGAAACTGAGTACTAAATCTGTATTAATGGTTAGTTAGTAATTGTGAAAAGTTATCGGAAAGATTATCGAAGATAAAAAGAAAGGTTGAGAACATTCTATATTTTACTATGAATTACCATTGTTTGCAGGTAAATGAACTACGGATACGATTATACAGCTTAAGTAAATGAAATCATCGAAAAAATCTTTTCTCTGGATATTTAAACAAGTTTAAGAATATACCATTATTTTACCAGGCTGATTTTTTCGTAGTATTCTTGTATTTAATGTTATATGTGATTAATCAGCTTGGAATGGGTTTCGAGCATAGAACGTAGTGGTTGAATGTCAAGATTTTTAGAAATCAAAAGAGTTTAAAACAATTTTCATTTAACTAGACATGACTGGTGTGATTAATTAACCCTCACACCAAGAAGTGTGTTTGAAGGCTAAGTACCATTAACCTGTACATAATTGATGTGTAAAGATTGATCAGTAAAGATTTTTATGAATTTATTATTAGTGTCTAAGTTTTCTCGTTTTATGATTACTTCTAAACTTTCTCAAGTTTTGGACTATAGTAATATGGTTTAAAGTATATGTTACTGTTGAAATAATGTTCCGTAAAATATTGACCTTATTTTGTATGCCCTTAAATTTCGTAGCGTAAATTTTATATTCGATCAACCAATCATTTGATTTTTAATTCTATTTTTTTGTCTTGAAGTTACCATACAGTTCTACTCTATTTGTTTGTATATACGTTTTTTGTATTACTATCATACGATTATTGATGCATTGATTTGTAACTGAGCGATGCCTCACGCAAGTTACTCACATTATGAACTGTTTTTGTAGCTTATTTGTCAAATTTTTATAAGATTTGTATTCTTATGCTTTTTATAAAGTCTATAACATTTCTACATTTGAATAATAATAAAATTTAGTCAATTCAGCTAGAAATCATGTCCATTTCTAACAATGATCTGTTTTTTATTTTTAATGTGTAGACTTCACGTATTGATTCATCAACTCGACCAGCATCACCAGCTCAAGCTGGAATGCTTAACAAATCAGATGCACCTTTAGTAAATGGAAAAGAAAACTCTCAGCTACCTCCTCAATATCCGTTTAAATCATCACGAGATTCTAAATCAAATGATACAGAATTAATTGCACTACGCAAGGAACGAGATCAACTTTTAACTACAATTGAAGAGATGAAGTAAGTGTTTGCTTATACTATTTGTTTTTCCGGCGAGATTATAATTTATGGGCCAACAAATCAAATTTGAGATAACAGGTCTTGGAATTTGGTTCGAAATTCATTTATATATTTGGCTAAAAAGCGTTTTGACATTTTAACCGATGTCAGTTCGTGATGAAAACCTTAAATCTAATTTGTAACCCTAAACATCAACTGTAAATCATAATTCTAATTCCTCACACTGGTTTATAGCAGTCATCTAGTTCTAGTTAGTAGGTGAACATTCTCAAGGTCATCTTAGCGTCGCTCAAAGGTCGTCCATAAATGGCAGTCTCATCGCTTTTTCTATTGATAATTACCCTTAAAACGTCTTTATATGGAATTATGTTTCTTTCGAGTGTTGTAGACATTATATTGTTAAATTTCGTCTAAACTGTTAATTAAACATAAACTAACCAAAATGACCTTATGTTGTTCACGACCTACGGATTTTATATTGTCAAATTAACTGGAATCAATTTACATGTCCTTGTAGTAATTTTTAGAAGTCATCCTAGTCAACAGAATAAACTATCTTTTTACCAGCTTTATTCGTTTGATAGTTTAAGGAGTTTTTTGTGTTAGTTTGATGGGAAATTCATTGATCAATTACACCTAAAAGGGATAAGATTACTGTGAAATAACTAAATCGAGTTCAAGTATGAAATCTGAAATATAGTTTATTAGAAAACTTAAAAGATGGAGCAGTCCTGAGGACACCGTCGTGGGGCCGGAAGAGGAGTCGTTAGTTGGCACAGTCCGGTCCAGGGCTTTTTTAACCAGCTAATCTGCCTTATTTGTTCAGATTATTTTTCATGTTTATTTATATAAATATGTGTATATGTTTACTTATGCTTTAACAGACATTGTATCACAGAGTATGATCGTAGTTTACAGCATATGGTTGAAGAGAAAGCTCATAGTCAAAGAGAAGTCAATATTCCAGTGGCTGATTTAATTAAAGAACGTGATGAAGCTGTAGAAGAGTTAGCTACTATTGAGAAAGCTTTTGGGGATTTACACAGACGTTTTGAGAAATCAAAACAAATTATAGAAGGTTTTAAGCAGGTTTGTTCTTTTGTTTTTAAACCGTTATATATTTTAAATAAATAATATATTTGTATTATTCCAGTGAGTAGAAAAATTAGATTTCCTAACTTTTTGTGACTTAGCGCAAGTCACTTCTTCAGAGAATAAATAACCAAATTAAAATTAATTTAAGTTTAAATATTACAAATATTACAAATATATTATTTATTTATAACAATCTACCCAATGCTCAATTTATGCGAAATTATCAAATCAAACCTTGGTAATGTTATATATTTTATTACTTCCATTTCTCATCATTTGTATTCTTTATGTTGATTTTTTTCTACTTTTGTTTTAATAAACATTATGTCGTCCATAATTTGTACTTCTGTGGAGGACTATTACAACAGTCTAGTTGTTCTATGTATGTAAACTATTCCTTACTCTTTTTTTAACTTTAAATGACGTATATTTGATATTCTAGATCAGTGTGTTGCATGCTGAGCTGACGTTGTATTTTGTCTTTTTATAGGTGTTTATGTCAACAACTAATTACCTCTTTATATTCATTTCAAGGATCAGCAAACACTTCTTAGTTAATGATATATATATATATTCCGTTCCAAGTTTTTCTCGTCTATTGAAACCAATTCACTTGTTAAAATGGGGTGGAACTAATGTTTTATTTGACTGTTGATTGATTATAATAAAGAGTAGAATGACTGTTCTCGTCTTTCATTAATGACCAGTTTTTCGTTTTTAAATAAGGCTTTGTTATTATTTTTGTTCGCTCCATTGATTTCCTGTGTAAAATCAAATGATGTCGTAGCATTAAAGTACTAATTAGACATAATTATTTAATTGTTGAAACATTAGGCTGTTCTATATATATATATATATATATATATATATATATATATATATATATATATATATATATATTTTCTAAATGTTCCATATACCTTTTGTGCAATGGTAACCACTAGTTACACACTGCACTTCACTGTATTCCTGAGTAGGTCATCTTTTTGAAACGAAGACTACCGTCATATTAAAAGACTGAATAATTTATATTAATTTTATTGAAATCAATAATCGACCCGAGGTAAATCACCATTAAAAAGTTGGAAGCTCTGTTTGGCTGTCTTATTGTAGTATGCGGCTCTTCAGCAGTATCCATCCCCCGTTCCTCATACGGAGTGCTAGGTCAGTTGTCGAGATCTAAGGTCATGGGTTTTCGCGTGCGAGGTCATGAATGCTCATTTCTGAAAAGTTCGATTCTAGGACTAAATGGTCGTCCAGTGCTTCCGGGTTATCATTGGTGGTCTAACGCAGATCGATTTATGATTTCAATGAAATTTAACAATATCCACAAGCCCGAACTGTTATTCATTCTTTGTCATTTAGTTGTTTATAAGGGTGAGGGGAGCGAAAAGTTGTTAATTTCTTATTTACGATTGACTGGGCAATGAACACTGTCATGTTTTTATCTAATTCTTTAGTACTGATTAAATTATATCCTTCGAACTGCAACCAAATCGTTATAATTCAATTAGCGTTAAAGAACTAAATAAACATGACGTTGATCACTACTCAATAATCAATCAATTGTAAATATCTCTTAGTCCTACATAAGAGTTTGTTTCAGCTCAAATAACTCAGCGGTAACATCTCAAACTGTTGAACTAGGTGATGCGAGATTGAATGCACAGTGATGGGTCAGTTTCCTTAATAATACCGATACATCCATCTCATGAGTATTAAATATAGTAAAACGCAAATCCAGAGTTTGCTGGTGACTATCTCCAACAGGTGGCCTTGACTCGTTCAATATCGTTTAGTTGTTTATTCTAATTAGAACAATTCTGTGAAATTAAATTTATAGGTCCTTTCATCAAATGTTTTTTATGTATTCCGCGTATGCAATATGATTTTAATCTTGGTTATCTTTAGATAGAAGACTACAGTAAACAGTATAAAACGATATTTCGTTATTTCTTTTTGTATCTAGGCCTAGTTTAAGGAGAAAACATCGGATCATGTTTATGCTTTGTTAGTAGTTACTTTTTCCTTAAGTTGTTGACTTTAAATTTATTTTAATCCTTTAAGTGAAGTAAATTCCTAGAAATTTCTAAAGTGCATCTAATACATTATTATTGTTCTTAAAAAACGACGTATGTTATTTGTTTTCATTTGTAAAATTTGTGTATTTTTTCTAAGTATTATCGAACCTGACCGTACTTATACTGTACATTTAAAATCGTTTTTACAATATTTGTTTCCTTATTTGTCAGAATGAAGAGGCTCTGAAAAAGAGCATCGATGAGTATAAAAATTTATTACAACGTCAGGAAAGAAAATATTTAGCTTTGAAAAAACACGCTGAAGATCAGCTGTTAAAGTGAGTAGCTGTTAGTAATATAAAATATTCTATCTTATACTGAGTAGTAAAATATGGCATTGATTGCTTAGTTGTATGTCCAGCTTAATGTCTGTGTAGGTCTTGAGTAGCTTGTTAACTGGTCTGGGTCAGGATCGGAATTGGTGATAGGGGGTAAAGTATTTGAGCCCGTCGACCATTTTACTTATCTTTGCAGACCAATTAATCTGATGAAGTCTCAGTACGGATATGCAAAACTCTCTTGTCTTTTATTAGAATTGGTTACCTGTAGCATAGGTGAGATGTCCGTTTGCCAATGAACGCGTATACTGGGCAGCAATTCGCTCTACCTTAATTTTTGACTGAAACTTTGCTTTAACAAGTAGAGGGCATTCGTATTTTATTACTAATATATAACCCAACATGTCTTCGAAGCAATGGTAATACATATTGGGGCCACCGAGCGAATAGTGTTGGTGTTAAACGCTGGATAAAACGTGAAGGTTGCAAATCGGCTAATGTAAAAGTGACTCTCCGTCGATTCAGGTTGTTGGGACATGTATTACCTATGCCCACCCACCGCCTACAGCGATAAGCAATGTTTGTTGGAGTGGGCTGAAAGAAAGCTATGTGGTGACCAAACCAAGACATGGCATCACTTCACGATGTTACTGACTTTTGAACTGAGCCATATTGGTTCAAACTACTTGGTTGGAGTCCACGTTATTTCTTTATCCAATGGTTGCAAACGTTTGTTTTGTCAATTTTGATCACACTGGCAGTCGTATGTAGAGAATCCTAATAACTCACATCTATCTGAAGCCTGTTCTGATAACGTCCTCTAGAAAGACATTAAAAGTTTCACAACCAAACTACCCAGCTCAGAGAACGAAAATCGATCCAAATTACCCACAATTTACTATATTGTGACTGAATCATATATATTTGTTTAATATGACGTGCGAAGTTCATTTTAATTTGCATTTTAAATATACTTTTCCATTTGTAAATAGAGTAAATCAAGACACAGAAGGAATAAAACAAGAATATGAAACAAATCTAACTCGATTACAGGCTTCATTAAGAATTTCTGAACTTCAAGTTAAGAGTCTTGAATCTCAGTTACAGCAAAAGGTATGTGGTAATTCATATTTTTGATTTTACACGGCACTTTGTTGTAAACATAGATTTGTCGTTAAAATGACCAGTATATGCCTCAATAAAGTTGTCGGTTTTATTCTCTTTTAATTCTATTTTGTCGTTCACTAATTTTCTTTGTGAAAGAACTGTCTTACACTTTAATTTCCATAGTTTAAATCATGAAGTGATCTTATCTACACCGCCTTTGAAACAGTAGCACTAAACAGCTTTTTCGTTCTATCGTAGGACTTTTCAGCAATGAAAATCCACAAACCTAGGACTTTTGATCTTTCATGCGAGCGCTTAACCTCTTGACCACCGAGTCGTCATCCGACGGTGTACATGTCTAATTTCAATCAATCCACGATATTGCGCAACCTTCATTCATTGCCTGAAGTGGGTAACAGTTTTACACTCGATATGGTTGAACTTCACTAGTCACAGCTTTTCACTAGAACTCAAGGAGTTACATCTTAAAGCCGGTCACTGATGAGCACATGATTGTTATTAGTATAGGGGGATTTGTATTGATTGTAGAATTTTCATAGTTTAAATCAGAAAATGACCTTAGTCAAAACATCTTTGAAAATCTTTTTGTAGTGTTATTTTCGTTTAAATATTTTCCATCCAGTGATTGTTTTTTGTTTGTTTAAATGATTGTACCGTATTTATACCCGATTATTATTTCGTTTGTATACTTTATGCGATAAAAATAAACTTTACTCCGTGTTATTTGCTTTTATTAACCAAGTATCAATAGAAGAGCAAAAGCAAAGATTGATGCAGAATAATATGAATACATTTTATATCGTTAGGTTCACATCATCTACTCACAACGTATAATATTTTAAGATTAAAGTTATTACATTTGTTGATATATTTATGAATACGAAGGTGATTAGAAACCAATATATGTATCATGATGTAACGAAGATTTCAATAGAATTAATACGATTATAAAATATTTTGATTCAGATGAACAAATAATATGTAGGAGAGAAAGTTCCAGAACATCATTCATTATTTCAATTCTTTCTCAAGTTTTGATTACATCATTGTCATTTTTCTTTCATTTATAATTCTGATTAGAACTGACTGATTTGAGGTCATATTCTTTTATAGCACTAACCTGTTTTCCGTTACTTCATTGCACAACCATCTAAAGTTTGTCAACTCTGTTTTCTTTCCCTTAAACACTTTATTTATTTATCTGAAACAAAATATTTTATAATCGTATTAATTCTATTGAAATCTTCGTTACATCATGATACATATATTTGTTTCTAATCACCTTCGTATTTATAAATATATCAACAAATGTAATAACTTTAATTTTAAAATATTATACGTTGTGAGTAGATGATGTGAACCTAACGATATAAAATGTATTCATATTATTCTGCATCAATCTTTGTTTTTACTCTCATTAAGATAAGAAAGGGATTTATGTGTATGAAACAGGTTTCAATAGTTCACACACTAAAAAAAAACTACCAGTCAAAACTGATCCAAATACTCAGATTTATGTTTAGTGGTGATTGAATGATATGGAATTTCATAAATTGTACTACAAAATAGCTAGTATTTCTCACTTTATTTAGATATCCTTAATTTTTCTTTTTCAATCAACACAAATTGAAACCAAATAATCATTTTAGGGAAGTTTATAGATCTTGCATATAAGCATTTTATGTTGATGAGTTTACTTGTCAGATGTGGAAGAAATTCATTCTTATCATATCACGCCTATAGAATTTTCAGTTGAATGAACCTTCAGATTTTATAGAATATTGGAATTTTTTTCAAAAACGAAGATTTGTTATGACTAAAATAATGTATTCGAAATCGTGGTTCTTGAGATTACTGCATATTATTTTCATACATTTATTTGGTTTATCTGCAACAATTTTGGTAGTCATTGTACAGACTCTCTCATCAGTTGATCTTTTATGAGCTTTCTACAGTATACGGAATGTTAAGGATCAATGATCGTTTCATTCCCAGTTAAGACATTACGTTTCCCATTTTTATTTCGAACAATCCAGTCAGTTTTTGTTTATAAGTTCATGACTATCTTTGAAATGGGCTAGTAATATGTCGTCGAGGCTTGGTAAATCATGACTCTTCAGAAGTTGGAGTCCTCTATGACCTCTCTATCGTTAGGGGGATCAGTAGTCATCGATCGAAGAGTACAGAACTGTCTGTTCCGCATCACTAGAACAACAGACCAATCAAATGGTCTACTAAAAC